CTGTGTCAATAAGTAAAATACTCTTACTCAAATATTCGAGTCAACAATTTTTCAGATTAATTTATTCAATATTTTGAGTAGGTTTTATTAATGATAAATGTATTTTTACCCCGCGGAGAAAGCGAGCATAACACGCCGTAGCAGCCAAAGCAACGATGTTATATGCCATTGTTGATATTAATTACTTACACGAAATTATTGTTCTGGCTGGAGGCACATTAGATGTTCTCGCGTATATAGCTATATATGTAGTACTTACTCAGAAAATATAGACTATCGTGTCGTCATGGGACATCGAAGATGGCATTGCATTTCTGGGTAGACGTTACCACTATGACTATCTTGGGCAAAATCCCGGGGGGAGGGGGGAACTCCACTATATTTGCTATACGGGTATGTGCCGCACGATAGGGCCCCTTTTTCGGAGGTCCAAGTCTGGGATAGGCTCGGATAGGGTATCATTTTTTGCCCATTTCTCTGCGATAGGGTAGTCTTTTTGTCTGGAATAGCTAGGGTAGTTTTTTGTCTGGGATAGGGTATAGTCTCATTATCTGGGTAAGGGTACAGTTTTGCCTGTAATCGTATCTGATAGGCCACGCTTTCAGCGCTAAAATACTGTACCTTTGTATCTTTAGTCTGGGGAAGGGTATAATTTAAATCACCAAAAATTGGTCTGGAATAGGGTAAGGTTTTGAGGGTCGTGCGGAACACCACCAAACAAGTTGGGATCGAGTAATCCCCCCCCCCCCCCCCCCCCGTGACAAAAATCTGTTTTGTGTGTAATCTGCTTTGTATTTAGGTTTGTTATTTGAAGTTTCTTGGTTATAAGACCACACAATTTGCTGCAAAAGAGATCGATAGACTCCAAATACTCTAGGGAATTATAGAACAAATGAAAGATGATTTATTCTTGAAACCTTTTTTCACTCTGATTCGGCTGTATTGCATGTTTTYTTTAAATATGACATATAAAAATGATAATTAAATAATATTTGTAATATTTTTTTAATATTCGAAATACAGATCATCATAAATTCATCATCCCCACTCTTCCATGCTGAGTTCAAAACCCTCCGCCGGCTTTTAGAATCTTAAATTATCGGAAATACAAATGCTTGAAAACAATAAAGGCCGTGTCACACTGGCGTTGTTTTCGTGCAACTTGTGTCGCGCAAAAAAATGTTGCACGATGCCATGTCACACTAGAAAATTTCGTTGCAACTTAGCTCGCACAAAAAAAATTTTCAAGGTGCACGCGTAAATTGAAAATGTACGATCATCTCACTTTCTGTCTCGTTTTCTTCTTCAAAATTATCGCTTTCGCCAAATATGGCAAGTGACAGCAGGACAGATTCTCGCTTTATTATGGGTTCGTGCGCCTAATTGAAAATCTTGGAAGTTGCAAGAGACCATGTCACACACGCGTTTTTCCGAAAAATGTTGAAAAAAGTAGAAGCCAGTTCTACTTTTCTCTCAATAAAAAAATGAAATGTTCAAGTTGCACGAGGGGGTGTCACACGTAAAAAGCGCTCGTGCAACTTACAACGGTAGGTATAACTGAGTACATAGCTCGATCATGACTTTTTTGTTAATCTATTCAACCCGTCAGAAAGACATTCTTAAAAAAAAGAAAAAAATCTCATCACTAAAAATGCTATGAATTTCATTGTTTCAGGAAATCGTCCGAAAATATGATTCATAATGCAGATCCGGAAGATGTTCATCCAGATCATTTACCAGATTCGCTGAATGTTATTTTGATCAATGATGGTAATATAAARCTCTTCAATTTCATTCATACAGTAYTGAMAACTTGTCAATCAGGGCCGTTGATTCAACTAAAAAAACCACGCACGTGCGCGTACCTTCATAAAAAGCCCAAAAAATAGAAAACTTAAAAATTGTCAGTTCTCTTTACAGTCAGCGGACATCCCGCTATTACGGACACTTTGATATTACGAACACGAAATACTGAATCCCCGGTGAAAAATACAAAGACTGACTGACTGAAAGTAACTCCTGATACTACCGACTCTCTCTACTTCAAACACTAAATTACGGTCCTGAGGGTGTTCGTAATAGCGAGAGTTGACTGTACTTCGTTTGCTATCCTCGTTAAAGCAGATATCTAGCACCAATAATAGGGTCACGTGAACAAAGTAGGCAGTGCTTGTAGGATAAATAAATGACAGATGAGTGTCTGTGTGTAACTCAAAAAATTCTTAACTACGCCTATCCTTCAGACAAATCTTTCTATTCCCTGTAACTAAAATTGATTTGTACGATCCTTATGTATTCTGTTAAAAATCAATACTAGWTGTWCAACGTTTTCTTAACGCTAATAGTGCGCAGCTAATTTTCAATTTTTTTCTTCCAACAGAATCATCCATATTCTCTGCATCAAAGAGTTCTTTTCG